CAAGCAAAAATGTTTACATTCGTGGCTGTAGGGAGGGAGAGAATGGGAAGGCAGGCCGGGCTTGGACTAAACATGGCGCCTATTTGAGCTGTCGTCACTACCTGATGCTTCGCATCTATATACCTTGGCTGCCTTCCATCTGGCCTGACATCTGGCAGTTCATGCAGTTAAATAAAGTTCTGAAAATATCCGCGAGGTCGCGCTCAACTCACCGCTGTACAAATCTTGATTCCTGCGATGCGACTGGGTGGTTATGCAGAAGCTTTCATCCTGTATTTGATATTTTCCCACGTTCAAGCAGAAGGGAGAAAATAAATGTTATTTATCAATTTGTTAAGAGTGGAAACTCAGCTCAAGGAGATTCCAGGTCCTTCTTGCATTATGGATGAGAGAAGAGGGTTCTCTTGTCAGATGCGTCATGGGAGTCTCATGATACGTCACCCTTGGCGATGAGAAGTATCGTACCATGATCAGGAGGCTAGGGTGGAAGCTGGGAGAACTCTGTATGATGAGTTATTTATCTTACTCTCGAGATCTTCTATTTCAACTCCCTTGTGAACTGAGACAGAAGATCTGGGGAAGTTGGTACACTCTCTGGTACACGCTCGTCCATTCAGATGAGCGTGAATGGAAGGGATCCAAGTGCACGATTTTAAAAGGGGCAGAAAGCAGTTATCTTCAGAGTACTATGAATGTTCACGTGCATGCAATTCGGCGTACGTCCACCGAATCACTCCTGCCGTACAACTCGAGACGGTTTGAGGAGTTCGTCCAACGGATGTTCTGCATTTGGATGTAGAGCCGCTAGATGTTCCAAGCGGATGTCCAATGGCTCCCTGATCATCCATCGCGGATGTCCAGCGGTCGCACGGAGGATGTCTAATGCTACCTGGGTGGAAATTAAAAAAAAACTTTATTCGTGCAAGTTGTGTGCAGTCAAACTCATGCGACTTAGGGCATTTGTTGGCTGTTCACTGCTCATGCATATGCCGCTTGAAATTCTCAAGTTACTGACGAAATATTTACGACTATGTAGGTGTAATGTTTCATTTTGTTATCTCGTGTCTTGTAACTGTAAATGTGAATAAATTGATATTTTACGAGTAAGGATCAGTTCACCCTGTAAAAGTAACTAACCCATGCCTGCCCTAGTGAACAGGAAAATGACGGCATAAAAAAAGACCCAAGGTGATGAGATAAATCAGGATTTTATTCAAATACCAAGCGCAAAAGGCCAAGCAATTTCAAAAGAGAATAAGACTTTTTATTTAAAAAAAAAAGGAAAAAAGGAAACGAAGAATATAGATTAAGGAAATGTAACGAAGAAAAGCAATAAACATTAGAGAAACACATAGAACAGCAAATTGTAAATGGGGAAAAACAACGACTTGACAAGTCGCCCTTTTTAGAGCCCTTTACTTATGAATTTATTTCTCCTAAACTGTTGCAGATGGAGAGGCTACCATTTTCATCACTTGGATGAAACAATCATAGACTAGAAGCAGTACATGCTTGGGCAAATTCAGAGAAACGGTTCTACTTGGATNGGCAAATTCAGAGAAACGGTTCTACTTGGATACATTTTCCCTCAGACGATGAAGCGTGTCGGATTCCATGCACCTGTCAACCTGCCACGACCAAGGACAGAAGTCCCGAGAAGAGAAGACCGAAGACGACTCTCAGGTCGGCAGAGCCGTTGCAGAAGTCCTCCGAGCAGAAGCAGGACCGGCCCGCGTCGGGGATGGCATCGCCGTCGGCGGTGCAGCCGTCTTCGCCGGGGACACGCGAGAAGCAGAGTTTCGTGAAGATCTCTGCGAAGTCGAGAGAGGCGTTATTTATGCAGAAAACTTGTCGCATCCCCTTTTTGCACGATAGAAATTTAAGTCCAGCCGCTCCAAAGCGGACCTGACCTTCGGAATCGCCGGTGAACCCGGTGCCGCAGTAGAACTTCTCGCCTTGGACTTGGATGAGTTGATCGCAAGAAACCGTCGCTTGCTCGCTCGGGTCTCTTTTGCATTCCGAGCCGCTGCAGGTGTGGCATTGCAGCGCAGACGCTGCAGAAGAAATTCATCGATGAAACTTCAGTGATGCCTGACGACGCGGCTCAGAGTGGGGTGAGTCCAACGATCATCCACTATAATCCGGTGATCCTCGATAATCCGACCCTTGAAAACCCTCAGCGAAAGGCCAAAGAGGGATTTGGAATCCGGCAGCTTCTCGAGG